TAGCATTTTCAAGGCTGTAAATCATTATGGAAGCAGAAAACCTTATTTTTCTCTCTTAGGGAGTTTGAACTGCTGACTCTGCGTTTAACAATCCAATGCTTATCCTACAGCGCCACCACCATGGTTTGGGTCAAACAAATACCTTTGCTTTCTACAACTTTAAAGAGATCTTTTGCAGCAGATTTGCCCAATGCAATATGTCATTTGATTTCCTAACTACTGTTCCATGAGGATTGATTATGGATCCATGTAAAATGGAATCCTTGACAACTTCAATCTTTGCTCCATTTATCATGATGTTGCTTATTGGTCCAATTGTAAGGATTTTTGTTTCTTTATGCTGATGTCAAATGGATCTCAGCTGAGGTAATCCATATTGAAGGCTGTAGTCTTTTTCATCAGTAAGTGGTTCAAGTCCTCTTTGCTATTAGTGAGGAGTGTTGTGTCATCTGCATTCTACAATCTACTTCCAATCCTGATACTGAGTTCTTTTTCACATAGTCCATCTTCTGTGATAATTTGACATAGAGATTACATAAGTATGATGAAAGGATGCAACTCTGATGAACATTTCCTGATTTGAAACTATGCATTATCCCTTTGTTCTACTTGAACAACTGCCTCATGGTCTATCTATGTGCAGGTTCCTCATTAGAACAATTAAGTATTCTGGAACTCCCATTCTTCACAATGTTATTCACACATATATTCTGTTATGCACCACACAAGTGTCTTTGCATAGTAAATGAAACACAGGTAAACATCTTTCTGGTATTCTTTGCTTTCAGCCAAGATCCATTTGACATCAGCAATGATATCCTTGTTCCACATCCTCTTCTAAATCTGGCTTGAATTTCTGTCAATTTCCTGTCGATGTCTTACTGCAACTGTTTTTTAATTATTTTCATCAACATTCTACTTGCATGTGATACTAATGATATTGTTCAATAATTTCCACATTTTGTTAGGTCATGTTTCTTTGAAATGAGCATGAATATGGACCCTTTCCAGTCTGTTGGCCAAGTAGCTGTCTTCCAAATTTCTTAGGATAGACAAGTGAGCACCTCTAGTACTAGATTTGTTTATCAAAACATTTCAGTTGGTATTTCATCAATTCCTGGCGTCCTGTTTTTCCATCTGTGCCTTCATTACAGCTTGGACTTTTTCCTTTAACACTATTGGTTCTTGAACATATGCTACCTCCTGAAATGGTTGAAAGTGATTAGTTCTTTTTGGTACAGTAACTCTATGTAGTCTTTCCATTTTCTTTTGATGCTTCCTACATTGCTCAATATTTTGCTCATGTTGTTGTTGTTAAGTGCTGTCAAGTTGGTTCCAACTAATAGCGAGCCTATATAGGGTTTCCAAGAAGCAGATGATGAGTTTAAACCACTGACCTTGTGGCTAGCCGTCCACTGCTTATCCCACAGTGCCACACCAGGATTTTGCCCAAAGAATCCTTCAATATTGCAACATGAGGCTTGAATTCTTTTCTTCAGTTCTTTCAGTTTGAGAAATGACGGTGTCTTTTCCCCCTTTGGTTTTCCAACTCCTGGTCTTTGCATTTTCACATATCATTATAATACTTTATTTTGGTTTCTTAAGTCACCCTTTGAAATCTTCTGTTCAGCTCTTTTACTTCATCATTGCTTCTTTTGCTTTAACTATTCTACCTTCAAGAGCAAGTTATAGAGGCTCTTTAGACATTCATTTTGTTTTTGTTTTTATATTTTTAATGACCTTTTGCTTTCTTTATATATGATATCTTTGATGCCAACCCACAACTGTTCTGGTCTTTGGTCATTAATGTTCAAAAATCTATTCTTGATATAGTCTCTAAATTCAGGTGGAATATATCCTCAAGGTCATATTTTGGCTCACATGAACTTGTTTTAATTTACTTCAGTTTCAGCTTGAACTTGAATATGAACAATTGATGGTCTGTTCCATAGTTGGTCCCTGGCCTTCTTCTGACTGATGGTATTGAGCTTCTTCATCATCTAAACAAATGTAATCAATTTGATTCCTGTGTATGCCATCCTAAGAGGTTCACATGTTACCATTTATATTGTTGAAAAATGGTATTTGCAATGAATAAGTCATTGCAAATTTCTATCTTGGTGTTATTACGGTCATAGTTTCCAACTACTGATCTTTCTTGTTTGTTTCCAATTTTTACAATCCAATAATCAGTAGTTACCAATCTCTTGATTAAATGTTTGATTAATTTCAGGCTGCATGGTTGTTGTTTGTTGTTATGTGCCATCAAGTCAGTTCCAACTCATAGCAACCCAAAATAGTGTTTCTGAGGCATGACTAGTGGGTTTGAACCACTAACCTTGCAGTTAGCAATCCAGTGCTTATCCTACAGTACCACATCAGGACTTGATTAGTTGGTAAAAATCTTCAGTTTCCTCATCTTTGGCACTAGTGGTTGGTGTGTAAGTTTTAATAATAGTTGTAGCTGTATGACTATTATCCTATCACTGACAGCGTTGTATTTCAGAATAGATCTCGAAATGTTCTTTTTAATGCTCTTCTTAATGTTCTTTTTAATGATTAATGCAATACCATTCCTTTGTCACTCCTGGCACAGTAGACTATATGAATGTTTCATTCAAAATGGTCAATACCAGTCCATTTCAGTTCACGAAGGCCTAGGGCATCTATCTTTTTGCACTCCATTTCATTTTTTATCATTGCCAACTTTCCTAAATTCTTATTTCATACATTCAATGTTCTGATTATTAGTGGATGTTTACTGCTGCTTCTTCTCATTTCAAGTCATGCCACATCAGCAAATGTTGTTGTTAAGTACCGTGGAGTTGGTTCCAACTCATAGTGACGCTGCACAGTGTTTCCGAGGCTGTAACTCTTTACGGGAGCAGAACGCCTCATCTTTCTCCCACGGAACTGCTGGTAGTTTCGAACTGCTGACCTTGAGGTTGGCAGCCCGACTCGTCACTACTAATGGAGGTCTCCAAAACTTCACTCTGTCTATGTCATTAAGACCGACTCTGCTTTGAGGAGGCAGCTTTTCCCCAGTCATATTTGGAATATCTTCCAACCTGAGGGGTTCATCTTCTAGCTCTATATCAGATAATGTCTACTGCTACTCATAAAGTTTTCATTGGCTTATTTTTCGGAAGTGGACTGCCTCTTCCTTCTTCCTAGTCTGGAAGCTCTGCTGAAACCTGTCCACCATGGGTGACCCTACTGGTATTTGAAATACCAATGGCATAGCTTTCGGCATCACAGCAACACACAAGTCACCACAGTACAACAAACTGACAGATGAATGCCGGCATTATTAGTTACAACATTATTGGTAATTGAATAGTAGCCTTTTAAATTTTTTTCTCATTCTTTTCCTTAAATTACTACTTCCCTCTCAAAAAAGTTATTGATATAGATTCACAAATACTAATTACCACAATATTGTAGCTCAAACACCAGAAAATTTGACAAAATCAGCAATTACAAAAATACAGACCTGTAGTGTGTCCAGAGGAAACCATGTAACTAGAAGCATCATTGTAATTGGGTAATAATGACAGATCTGACCAGAGTGTATTGTTGTTAAGTGCTGTCGAGTTGGTTCTGACCCATAGTGACCCTGTATAGGGTTTCCTAGGAGCAACTGGTGAGCTTGAACCACTGACCATGCAGTTCAAAAAGACTTGGCAGTCCAGCGCATTAGCCCACAGTGCCACATAGAGAAGGTTCAAAAAGTGAATCAGAATAGAGTTTTAGCCTTATAAGTATATTGATACATGTAAAGCTTGGCTTATAAAATAGGTTTTTGTTGTTATCACTAAAAACAGGGCTATTTAAATAACAAATAATAAATATCTGTTTAAACACTGCACAAAAATTTTATAGACACTCATTTTGGTGTTAGCTCCTCTAATACCCAGTGTGGCCTGCACATACACCCCTCACCCAGTGATGTCACTGTTGGTCATCTTAGAAGTGGGTTTATCAATCTTGGCACTATTGGCATTTTGGGCTGGATTATTCTTTGTGTAAGAAGTTGTCCTGTGCATTATAGGATGTTTAACGGGACCCCTAGCCTCTACCCACTAGATGCCAGTAGCAACCCCATCTTTCCTCTGCAGTTATAAAAACCAAAAATGTCTCCAGATGCTTCCAAATGTCTCCTGGAGTGGCGGGGTGCCACCCTCGTTGAGAACTACTGTCCTTGAAGAGCTCTAGGTTTAATTAGCTGCCAGGTTATAGGGTTCTCAACTTAGCAGGATGTTCCTAGGACTCTAAGCCACCCGAAGATTTCAGTCAGACCTGTTTAGGCCAGCCTAGTCCTTGCCAAGAATTCTTGGCATGACTAGGAACTCCAAACCTTTATAACTGAGCTAAGTGCCTAATGGTCCTCTGTATCTCTGTGGCTTAGGACCACCTCAGGACACTTGGTTTTTCCATCCAAGGGGCTCCTGGATACTTACCTTGCACATTGGCTACATTTCCAGTGCTACTCTTCAGTGCTTAATCCCTTAAAGATCTGCCTATCAGAATTATTAGAACGTTAGGAGATAGAGTCCTGGTATGGTGCTGTAGAATAAGTACTGGACTGTTAACCGCAAGATTGGCAGTTCAAACCCACTATCCACTTCTTGAAAATCCTATAGAGGTTCGCTATGAGATGGAACCAACTAGATGGCACTTAACAGCAGCAACAGTAAAATTAAAATAAATAAATAAAATGAATTTTACTTTACTTACTTCTTACTTAAATAAGTAAAAGTAAAATGACAATCTATCCATTGTTGTGAAGTGCTATCGAATTGGTTCCAACTCATGGCAACCCTGTATAGGATTTCCAAGGAGCAGCTGGTGGTGGGTTTGAACTGCCAAGCCTTGAGATTAGCAGTCCATTGCTTATCCATATAGATTCATTCACTATGGGAGGCAAAATCAACCCACCCTTCTCTCATCTCTCCAAACTTAAAAAAAAAAAAAAAAGGTGTAAAATTGAGCTCACTTACAGACAATACCAGATCCCTCTTCCGCCTGGAATTCCTCTGCCCACTCCCTCTGGTCCTGCACTGGGAAGCAGTAAACACTAGAGATTGTCTCAGCTCCCCAGTGCCTCCAGGGCCTGACTCTTCCAAGGCATTGTCCAGGGCAGCAGCAGCACTGAGCACATCTTCGGGGCGGGGCAATGGCAGCTTGGCTCCATTCTCTGGCCCCGTCTCTGAGGCTGCCCGCTGGATAGCCAGTTGTGTGGCTGGTGAGAGTTGCTTGGCATAAGCAGGGACCAGCACCCGCTGCACTGCACCCTCAGAGGCCACGTAATCATCCACCAGCTAACAACATGAAAGAGAACAGCCGATTAGCTTGCCTGTTGAATCAGGGGCCTTGATCAAGGACAGTGAACTGAGTGGATAGATGCAGAGAGTCTAGCACAGTCTTTAATGGTCAATGGCTTGTTTCTCTGTGTGTACAGGGCTTCTCAAGTTGGGTCATTATCATAGAATTGATTACAAGGACAAGTCATGTTTCGTATGTTCTGTTTGTGAGTAGAAATTTATGATTTTCTCTTGGGTATAAGATATGTAGCTGGGAAAACATTTGGTCTAAAAGGGATTGACAGAAGAAGTGATAACAAGAAAGGGAAACTAAGCCAGGAGGAGCAAGGGAGGAAAATGATAGCAACAGTAAAGAGGGAAAATGAGAGCAAAGGAGGGAGACAGAAAGTGAGACATCTCTGGAGTGCAGTACTCGCCTGTTGCCCATCCCCTTGGCTGGGCCAGTCCTGTAGCCTCACCTTGGTCCTGCCCTGGCAGCATCTGATAGTCGTTGCCCTGCCATCTACTTGACTGTCTGTGCCCTCACTCAAGGACATACAGGGCAAGAAAGGAAGGAGGGAGGAAGGGAGAAGAAAGGAGGGGGGATTTCTGCAGCCAAGAAAACAAAACAGTGAAAGTGTGTGTGTGTGGGGGGGGGGGGGGGGAACAAACACAGAAAGCAGCGGGGGAGGAGGCTGAGATTTATAGACCTGTGAGCTGCTTTCTGCTCTGTGGAATCTAATTCCTCCTGTCGGCTTGGAAGCCTTCCCTGCCTGAAAGAAACCACAGCCTGGTCTGGAATCCTCCTGCCTCCCCTCTCCTTGATCCCTCTTCCCTCAGTCCCCAACTATTGTTGGTCTTGACTAGGCACAAACAGTGGCAAGCAATAATGGGCATTAGCCATAAGGCTATGCCTTTTAGGGGATCAGTGACCAGTTGTTGTGTTACATTGGAGGACTAAGGGGAGTTTATATATATATATATATATATATATATATATTCAGTTTTCAGATCCAGCAGATGGGCTGGGAATTTCATCCGTCCCATCTACCCCTTGTTCTGCTCCTTTACTCTTTCCTGGGTGTCTGAGCTTTATCATAGGGGAGGAGGAGAGAGGGAGGGCTGGCATGGAGAATAAGGTGGAGGAGAGTTGACAGACCTCCCACTGTCTCTCAAGTGGCAACACATCTGTTATTTTCCCATCTCTATGATCGCTATGGTTGCTCCATCTCCTTCCCATACTTTCATGTGTGACATTCTGCAGTTTTTACTCTACCCACCCAGGATTTCCCTGCTCATATGGCCCTAAGCAGTAAAGAACCAGAAATAGAGCAGTGTATGTCTATGTCTTTTCCTGCTCACAAAATGTGCTTGCTTGCTTCCTTTTTCCCTTCACTCTTTCTCCCTCCATGTTATTCCTCTTACTACTAATGCTTAATCGTTGATTTCCCCCCTCATTTTATTTCCTTTCCTCTAGCTCCCCTACTGCCTTACCTGGAATTCTCTTTGCCACATAGATTCTCCCCTTTCCACATAGATTCACCTTGCTTCTCTGCTCCTTTTTTCACTTTGCTCCTCCCTCACCCCTTCATTTCAACCTGCCTCTTTCCCTCAGATATTATCTACCATCTTTGTCCTCTCCCTCTCACTTTTTCCTTTACTCTCTCTCTCCACCTCTGCCTCCATCTCCTCCACATTCCCATCTCCCTCTATACTGAACTCCTCTTGGCAAGCAGAGGGCCAGTGATAAAATATGAATGAGCCGTCTGTGCACGGCAGGCATTCTCGCCAGGAGAGGCAGAGCCCATGGAGCGGTGGAGACAGCTGTGGAGAAGTTGCCTTGCTGTGTTACTGAGAGAGAGGGAACAGCATCCCATCTCCACACACTCCAAAAATCATCTTCTGTCGAAGAGCCTGATGGCAAAATAGGAATACTGACTCTCCTGAAAGGCCAAAAAATGTGGTACTGTTGTTTTATCACAAACCCAACCCAGGTAAGGTATCAAGATGGAAAGAAAATTAGAGAAAGGGAAAAGGAGCGTGAGAAGGCAAGGACAACCAGTAAGGAATGCCAGCACTCATGTCCCTCCTCAGCCCATACTCACAGGATTGAGCAGTGAGGCCCCCTCACTGGCAGCCAGGGCACACCTTGGAGTGGCTGGGAAGCCTAAAGGTCCAGGCCCCACAGCGGAGGCTGCTCCCAGCTGCCGCAGCTCCTCGATCACCACCTGCACGCCGCTGCCCACGCTGTCACACTCTTCTTCCATGGCAGCCAGAGCCTTGCTGGTCTCCCCGGGGTTCTCCTTGAGGGTCCCAGGCTCTTCAGGTGGGGAGCTCTGTGCCCCACTTTCTCCATTCTCATCAGGGGTAGGCACTTTCCCTTGCTTTAGCTCACCCACCTCCTCCTGCAGACGTTTTAACAATTCATTGTTGGCCCTGGCAAGACCCAGAGCAGCTTCAGCCAGTCCCACTGCCTTCTCTACCCTCTGGTAGATGATATGTAGGAGCTGCTCTGAACTCTGAACGGCCAGGCCATGTCCTGTCACAGTGATAGGGGTGCTGGGAGGAGGATTCCCGCCCTGTGTGCTGCCCCCACTAGTCTCATTTTTACAGGCACAGCAACAGCATGTGGCCTCACTGCCACTGGGTGGGGAGAAGAGAATGGTAGCACTGAAGGACATGGCTTAAAGCAATGACAACCCAGCTCACACAGCTGGATCTTTCCAAAGAGTCCTGAAGCAAACCAACTTTGCAAGTTTGGTGGGAAGCACTGTTTTCTTTGGATTCACTTTCCTTTCTCATAGAGGAGGGTCAGAGCAGCCTGGGTCCTGGGCACTGGGTTCTGTGAAGGAGGAGTATGCACGCAGAGAAGGGATGCACAGTCCATGGCTGCCTCGCCTCAGACTGCAGGGGAGAGAGGCTTTCTTCTCTTTGTAGATGCTGCTCCCCAGCACAGCACACAGGGTATCACACTCACCCCTTGCCAAAGGGGGATCCTATAGAGGCCTTCCTGGAGAACACAATGTCAGAGGGTAGAAGGCATTCTTCTTGTACCCAAGCATGGAACCTCCCTCCCCATCTACCACTCCAACCAAAGGAACAGAGAAGGTGTTCAAAAGGACCCACTGGCATCTGGAAAGATTAGAAGATTAAGGAAGAAAATGTAGATCTGTCATCTCACTATCTTACTGTAATAACACTATTGCATTTTATGACTTTGACATAATTCCTGAAGGAGTTTACAATGCTTCACATAGGGGGTATCTCATCTGTACAACAGCTTTAAGAAACACATATTACTCTAGGTACCGGGCAGAGACCCAGAGAGAAGTTATATGTCTTCTTCAAGGTCAGAGGAAGATAACAGAATCGACTTATTGCTATTTCAGTCTACTGTTTATTTTTTTCTGAACAGATACCACTTTTTGTTGACAAGAAGAATCATGATTCTACCTGCTATAATTTTCATACAGATGCATTCAGAATTAGACTCTGAAAACACCAATCACTGCATCCCTTAACATGTCACCAACCTTTCACTATTACATCATTAATTCTGTGAGGGCGAGAGCAGGGGAATGAAACGATGGCTGGTTCGGGAATTTGAGGACGTGTATAACCCAGCTCTACACAGCTCCTTGCTCTCAAAGTTGTACACCTGTGTTTTAGCCTGTTTAGAATCTCCCAGCCAGTAATCAAAGAAGTGACCTTGGGGGATCCCTCACCTCTACTTTTTGTGCTCAACAGGAATGTCTAAATCTCTAAGTGCTGATGCTTTGCCCACATGACCAGACCCCAAAAGAGGAGAAACCAGAATATAAGGGATAAACCAGACTGTGTCGCTTTTGAATTATACTATAGTTAAGTCACTAGACTACTTCAGGAAGAATAAGGCAGAAAGAGGTAGGGGCTGGTTTGCACTACTGAGAACACTCCAAGGAGCTTAATAAATATTGCAATTTTCTAAATGATACTTGATTATAGAGGGAAAAAAAACCCTTCTGCCTGTAGCTTCATAAGTGACAAAACCTCAAGTATGTTTACAATTTTCTCAAGAGATACATTTCTATCGTACTCTATAAATTATAATATCAAAATTAAAAGAACAACAGATTAGGAGAATTTTCTATATATTGAGGTGGGGTTTTGTGTGCATTTGTGTGAATTAGCAATCTCATTTCAGAAACAGACAATATTAGAGCCTCTAAGTACTAAAACATAAAATCTGACAATGCATTTTAATTACATTTAGTTATTGAAGAACAGTCTTTAATTTGCTCTTGCCACCCTTTATATCGAAGAAACAGCTTTTCTGTGCCAAATATTCACTTCTTGTAAGAACTTAACTCAAATCCACTTACAGCTTCCCTGTCATTAGAGTTACTAGAAGGCATGGCTACACCTAAAACTAAAGGTTAAAGCCAAATTAAAACTAAAGGTTAAAGGAAAGCACTAAGCGATTCTATGTCAAATTATGGATGGATTATTTATATATATATATATTTCCTTCCTAAATAAGGGCCTATACATCTCCTTCAGATTTTTTTTTACCAACAGCGTGCAAGGTGTCTAATCTTAAACATTATGCTGTGAGAAAAAGAAAAATCAAGTTTAGGGGATAGTGAACTACAGTAAACAAATGCTTGGGACCAGTACTTGTAAAACTGGAAATTAATATGCATCAGGTTGTAACACTGAATTCTTGTTTAGCCCATTTCGAGTAGCAAACTGACAACTGCAAGAATGCTCCTTAGAAGTCAGGATGGCAAGACACATCATCAGGAGAGACCAATTGCTGGAAAAGGACATAATTCTTTGCAAAGTACTGAGTCAGAGAAAAAGCAGGGCACCCTCAATGAGATGGACTGGCACAGTGCTTGGAACAATGGGCTCACACACAGCGATGATTATGAGAATGGCACAGGACCTGGCAGCGTTTTGTTCTGTTATACACAATGGTACTACACTTCAGGGCTGACTTGATGGCATCTAATAAGGAATCCTGGTAGGATGATGTAGTATTGGGCCACAACGTTAGCATTTCAAATCCACCTCGGAAACCTATATAGGGTTTGCCATGGGTCAGAACTGACTCAATAGCACTTAGCAACAACAATAATATATTTGCCTCCCATGCTTACTCTTTCTTGCAAAAAGCTCTTACCAATGCCAGTGTTGTGCCTGCCTTGAGCCCTTTCCAACTCCTTTAAATGGTCTCTCCTAGGTCATCTTTCCAAAACAACACTGAACTGGAAGTAACTTAAAAAATGGAGTTCCCATCTGACTGCACCACTTATGTGAATTGAGGCAAATTATTTCACTTTTCTGAGCCTGTTTTCTCATTCATGTCTACCTTGAGTGTTTTTGTGAACATTATATATATATACATAATGTGGCACTGTAGGATAAGCACTAGACTGCCAATCTCAATATCAGCGGTTCAAACCAACCAGCCGATCCTCAGAAATTTATACAGGGTTTCTATGAGTTGGAACTTACTCAGTGGCACTTAACAACAACAACAACAGATATGAGTAAAAGTCACCTCCAGAGTACCAGCACACATTGGATGTTCTCCCAAATAATATTTGTATAATATTATGATTATTACTGAAACCTTTTGTGCTTCCATCCTGGACACCTAGCTGACTCCCTGATCTTGAATAAAATGTAATAGCTCGAAATAACGTTTCAAGAAACAAAAAATTTCTAAGAAACAAATTCAAGTCCGCAAAGATGTATTGGGGCACAAAACCATCTATGATGCAAATTAGAAAGGTAATTAAGCAAACCAAGTATTTGAAATTTAGTACTTACTATTATGACCTGTCTTGGAAGAAGTACAGCCAGAATGCTCCTGAGAAAGGAGATTGGCGAGACTTTTATCTTATATACTTTGGACATGTTATCAGGAGGGACTAGTCCCTGGAGAAGGACATCATGATTGGTAAAGAAGAGAGCCAACAAAAAAGAGGAAGCCCCTCAACAAAGTGGACTGACACAGGAGCTGCCAATAATGGGAACAAACGAAGCAACAATTAGGAGGATAGTACCAGGATAGCCAAACTTCATCTCCCATACTTCGGACATATTGTCAGTAGGGACCAGTCATTGGAGAAGGACATCATGTTTGGTAAGGCATAGGGTAAGAGAAAAAGAGAAAGACCCTAAATGAGATGGGATTGGCCAAGTGGCAGCATCAATGGACTCAAGTGTGGCAACAGTAATGAGGTTGGCCCAGGATGGGCAGTATTTCGTTCTGCTGTGCATAAGGTCGCTATGAGTCGGTACTGACTCGATGGCACCTAACAACAACAACAACAACCAGGACCAGGCAGTGTTTATTTTTGTTCTGTATAGGGTCACTATGAATCAGAATCAACTTGATGGCACCTAACCACAACATCATAACCTGACCTTAGGCTAAGATTAATACTCAACTCTGCTAATTTTTTTAAGCTATATTTATTTTCCCATGTGAGTTCACTTTGTTCTTTATTTTTCTGCTTCAAGTTCATACAGTATATACTTCATATATCACAGTGTGTCCATTTTAGACTGTCACACTCAGGGTAGCAAATATGTGTTTTCTTGAATTAAAATGTCTATTGAATACTTGGTACTGTGCAGGGCAGCACAATGGGCAAGTAACTTTTCTTTGGTTTCCACGGACACTACTGCTGACTTAATATCCTTGCTTCCTGCCACAATCTCCAACTTAAAACTTTAACGCAGGGAAAGAAATTGGGGGTAGCAGGTGAATAAAGTAGTATTTCAAATTATAATATTTATTACCCACATAACAACTTAAATGCTGGACAAATGATTAAAACAAACACTAACTTCATAAGTTGCATATACTCCCATTCGAGAAGTCAAGCAAAGTAAAACAGGGGGTCATTGTTAAAAATGGCATGATAGCGTCCCGATCTCTTGCTTCACAAAGGGGAAGAAGAGTCAAGATCAGAAGCCCATGGATGATTCCTATGAGGCAGAGGTCAGACATGCACCAAACATCCCTGTCACCACATTCTTTACTCTTTTGCTGCATTAAATGGCTACACAAAATTCACACAAAACTTCATTACAATTGCCACACAAAACTTACAGACAATATTCATGATTGTGGGGTTTATTAGGGAAGTTATTGTTACTGTTAAGTGTCATCAAGTAGGTTCTGAATCATAGACCTTGTATAGGGTTTCTGAGGAGCAGCTAATGGGTTTGAACTGCTGACCTTGTGGTTTTCAGCCAAGTTCTTATCCTACAGCACTACACTAGGAGTCCTTACTAGGAATGTAATAGGTTACAATTCAGGATATAGTCCTTCAGTCAGGACAGCTTCTTCTCATCCATAACTGCACACAGGCCTATCTCTTGGATCCTAGGGCCTTTTGGGCTCTGCCCTGCTGTTACAAAGCTCTTTGGCTCTACTGATAAGTGCCCAAAGGAACCCACTCCACCAAGAAGCTTCCTGCCTGAAAGTAGTCAGCTTTCTCACTCTAGTTAAGAAGCTCACAGAGCCATCTCTCAGTGCCTCCAGGGTTACAGCTCTTTTCTTGGGTTTAGGAAGTTCCCAGCACACAGACTGGGTGGTAGTCAGGTCCCTCCTTCTTTGGAAATGGCTCTCTTTTGAGCATAGTGGATGGCAAACCCGACCAATCCCCTCAGGCTTCTAGAT